AAATATGTGTGTAATTAGAAAAATAGGTAAAATGAACATATTCAAATCAAAACTCTAAATTTAACCTAAAAATTCTAGGTCCAATGATTCTCATCTAAAGAAAAACAAACAATGAAAGCTAAAATTCTAAAAGTCTAAAATGTAAAAGACTAAAAGAAATATGAGGTTTATTCACTTGAAAAATGACTATAGCAACTAGTGGAAATTAAATAGAAATGGACACACAATACAAATTGATTAGTCGATTGATTTGTCTAGTGTTGTCATTGCCCATTTCAACAACTACTATGGAGCGAACCTTTTCAACAATGGAACAAGTGAAGATTGATTTGCGCAACAAAATGAGCAATGAATTTCTCGCCGATTGGTTAACTATTTTATTTGAAAGAGAGTAGTATGCTATTGGTATAGATATAGACTCCATTATTGATAAATTTGCTATATTAAAAAATCGATGTGTACAATTGCTATTGTAAAAAATATGATTTTTTAAGATATCTAATTTTTAATGAAATGCGATCTTGCTCGACTAGGCTTTGGATGCAACAATTTGGAGCCAATAATTTGGAGTATAGTAGAACTACTCTTATGGGTCACGGCTCTGATAGTGACATATGAAGATTTTGTCTGATTGGGTCTCCAATTTCCGGGTCGTCGTAGAAGGAAAGTAACTCTACATTGTGTAAATGTGGACATTTTTGGATAGGGAAGACCCACTCCTATTGATTACGCAACGAAATTTGATGATTGAAAACTAACCAAAGTCAATTAAGCCTTGATTACAAAGAAAGAGATGTGTATCAGATCGATCAAATCATTTTTCTTAATTTGTGTCATCCAATTAAATATTATGGGAGAGAAAGTCAAAATTTGGGATTGATAATAGTAAAATACCATACAGTTGATTAATTAGGTTTCTGGAACTGCTTATACTAGTCTAACTACTTTGACTCATTCTCCGCCTAACTCCTGCTAAGATGACAAGTTACACAACTTACGTGAGTGACATACAAAATGCTATCTCTAACTTCAATCTTAACGACTGTTCATGATCAAGAGTACTGCAGCAAAAGTTGACCAAAATTCATATTTTCAGGCCATTTAACAATGACTTTTGTTGAGCCCATTATCTGCAACTTCTGGTGCCAAGTGGTTCCTACCCCGCGGCCCAGCCCATCAAGTCAAATTGGTACCAGCCCATCGTTGGAACAGTACTCAGTATCACTGGGCCTACTTATCTCAGGCAGCTCCAGGCTTGCAGACCGACTAATACTTTGTTGTAGGCTTTGTAGCACAGATATGAGAAGAGTTAATATTAATACCCGATTTATAGTTTGTCCCCATGTAATCAACTTTATCCACGGGTTTTAGAAATTGTCATTCTTATCTCAACAATACATCATATAGACAATTTTGGTCGGACGCGTAGTTTCACCGTCTATTTGGACGGTCAACACACCGTTGATCGTTAGTCAACTGTCCATCTCATTACCATGTCAACAACACCAAACCAAAATAAAATTAAGAATACAAATTGCTTTAATGTTTCCTTTATCTAATTAATAAAATAATAAAAAATAAATGAATCAACCCCAAAATTAATTTCGACCACCCCAATACCCCATCGGCAACTTATCTCTCCTCCTCGTTCACGCTTTCGCCATCGTCAACCACCACCGATTATCTCTGAAAATCAAACTGCTGATCTGTTAACAAAGGTAGTAGCGTCAGCTTGACATTTGTTCCTAGCATACAAATAGTTATGGAGACACCATCAATTTGAGGGAGGGTGTTAGAAGTTTGAGTACCATTCAGTAATTGTCCAAGTTAGGGTTAGTAGCTAGTATATATACGTGTGTTGTATGGCCGGCTAGGTTAACTCTTTTGGGTAGGGGTGGCATTTCGGTTTTCGCTTAGCGGGTAACCGTCAGTTTTAACCAAAAACCGTCGATTACTAGCTAACCGAAAACCGACCAGTTATCTTGGCGGTCGGTGGTCAGATGGGAAAAGGAAGGGGTCGGTTGAACGAGTAACCGACGGTGATTAACCGCGGTTATCCGACTAACCGGCCCCAACCGAGACCCACTTAACCTTCCCAAAATCCTGTCCATCATCTCCACCTCCACTCTCCTCCTCGGACCCTAAACGCCTTCGTCCACCTCGCCTTAGCTGTCGCGTCGCCGTCCACCTCGCCTCTCCCCTGCACCTCACCGTCCTCCTCCTTCCCATCGCGATTAGCGCCGTGCCGTTCGTATGCCTTCGCCTCCGTTTCCTTACTGTCGCGGAGCAGGCCACCAGCCCAGCAACAACATCATTTTGCGTCGTCCTTATCGTCAATCAACAAACCATCTCTTTCTCCGGCGACGACCCAGGGCCTCCGCTTCGCCGTTCCCGTGCGCGACCCCCTGCTTCTCCTCCTCGAATCGCCAATCGCCCTGCCCCGATGTCCGCCTCCACTCGCCCCCACTGTGCCTCTGCTTCTCCTCCATGGTCGTGGTGTCCATATCTGAAATGGAAGAAGGAAGGAGAGAGACGGAAGGAGTGGTGGCCTTCCTGGCGGTGGTGGGGGGTTTGAATGGAGAAAGGAAGGAGAGAGAAGGATGAAGGAGATAAGGATAAAGTGGTTGGCGGATTTTTGATTTTTTTTTAATAATTTTTAATTAATTTCATTGGGGTTGTGCTATTGGAGTAATGTGTTTCTTTTTGTAGTTGGCTCTTTTTATATATTTTATTTTATAAAAATATTGACTTTGTGTATAATAATATTATAATTAAAATACAATATGGGTAGAGATGGTAACAAGTCGGATAATGCATATATATTTCCCTACCCAAAAAAGTTCGGGTTGTACACATATCCGTACTCGTATAAGCATCGGATAGAATATCAAACCATACACATACCTGATCGGGTTTTGGGTATCCATGGATGATTTTAACAACTCTTCATATACCGACATTATATAAGTGACAAATCACAACAATAAATTACCGAAATGAAGAAACATAGTCATAAAAATATTATATATGCACGATAAATATGAAATATGTTAAGAAAAGTAATGATAATTTTTAAATAAAATACATATGCACATGTATAATCAGACACTAAGCAAAGTGCTAATGGAAGTGGTTCAAACAATCCTCTAATTATTTTGGGCCTAACCCCATGGGGCTGGTTTTACAATGCGAAGCTTTTAGAAAAGCGTATGTGTCACATATGTTTTGAAGCCCAACCCGTGAATTTCGGAATTCTATATATTTTTAAGCGAGCGAATAAAGTACAAAACTTCGGTCTGCAAAACCTGGTCGTATCATCATATCAAGATTCACGGCATCGTGATACGATGATACAATACACCTAACTAACCTGTTAAACTCCCTCTTATCGTAAGCAAGCTAATTGACCATCATCTCAATCCCGCAGTGAAACGCGGGCGGCATTGCCTAGTATATATATATATATCTACACAATAAATAAAAGCCAAATGAGAAAACTTGAAGCTCCATTTCAAATTTCCTGCATCCAGAGTGAAAGTAGGAAGGATATTTTGGTCTTCACAATTACTTTTTTTTATTAATTAAAAATGGCACATACTAGGATTCGAACCATGACCACTTTAAAGTAAAGCAAACATCATAACCAATCACACTAAGTACATTTGTTGTATCTTTTTAAATTAAAAACATATAATAGCAGAGAGGAAAAAACTCTTCCCCCATTTCAAATTCCCTGCTCCAGGAGCGTTTGTAGGAAGGGTAGAATAGGGAGTGCCAAATTTTTTTCTTTTTTCGCTGTGGAACGAGCCATCTTACCATACACATGCGGATGTAAACGGGTCTAGGAGTGTCAATTTTTTTCTTTAAATCCTTTTATTTCTCCGTGATGGTAAAATATATATATGAAAATAGAAAAACAATACTCCTTTTTATTGCTAAAAAGAAACTAATGCATGGATTCTAATGGGCTAACCGCTAACCATAAAATAAAAGAGTTGAATGGGCCTGACCTACATGAGATTTGCCCATCAAGTAAAACAAATGAACATCGTGGGTTTGCCATTCTAAAATAAGTTATTTTCTCTAGCATAATATATATTATGCTATTATTTTATATCTTAGTGGCTAAAATATAATGTGTTTTAAAATTATTCAATGGTTCAACCTCGACCAACCCAATTGGTCCAATTTTTATCATTTCAAATATATATTATGTGATTATTTGATATCATAATTATTAAATTATAGTGTATTTTATAGGGAATCGTTTGGTATTTGTTAGTAAAAAAAAATAAACAGAAAGATCTATTTGGTTATTTTAACATTAAAACGATCCTAAACATTTTCAGCTTTCTTTCTAAATTCTATAGTTTTATTCCCGAATTAGTAATGTGCAAATGGCGAATTGCAGTCATCTCTTTTCTTTCATTATTTTTTATTTTCAAATAGAAAATTTGAAAGTAAAGAATAATTAGAGTTTGGCATGGGTCGGTCAAACATGCTGAATTTCAAGTTTTGGCCCGTTTTGATCATGTGTAATTTATAATCACATTGTTCCCTGATACTCGATAAAAATCTCAATCCAAACCAGTTTAGCAGGTGAGTTCGTGTTTACCACCATTTTCTAGGGATACAGGAACGGCGTCCTATCCCAAATCGTGTTGTTCATTCTTGATTTCTTTAGATTTTATCATGGCTTGGCAAAAACCAGAAAACAAAATGACGACAAGATGAAAGTTCTATAAAGCAAATTAATTGGCCAACGGGCCGAGTAAAAGCTAGCAACGATTGTGAGATGCTCATTTCCCAAAACCGGGGGGATAAGTGATTTTTTATTCGATTTTATGGAATTCAGTTTCTATAAAACTTACTTCACCTCATCATATTGCCAGAAACAATATTGTTTCACAAGGTAACAGGTACTTGATTTTGGTTCATAAGGCTGATTTTTGATTCGTTGCATCATTTATGTCTCTTTTCTACTAAAATTCACTATTTTTATCACGTGTTTTCCAAAAGAACTATACAATAATAAGCTATACACCCATTACATTATCAAATTTCATACCTCACCTTCCTCCGGCCAACTGGCCGGGGCCACGCTAGTATATATTGAGAATGGAATTGTACGCACATCAGATGCTGCTCATCCGATTATTTATTAAACAATTAACAGCAAACTAGTTCTAACCCTCTAGAATTTCTTTCGCAACTGCTCCACAAGTTCCCTGTCCACCTGAAACGCCCTGGCCAGCACACTCGGGTCAATACCCGATCCGAAAACTGAATTAGCCACCACAACAATCCCCGGGTTCTGGCTGCTCAATCCGGACACGGCCCGGCCCGCAGTACTCCCGATGTTGTACTGGAAATGGATCCTTCCAGCCGGGAATACGAACACGTCACCCGGGTTCAGTATCTTGCTGATCAGCCGGTCCGGGTTCGACGCCACGAACCCTGCGTAGAATTTCCCCTCCAGCGCCAAAAACACCTCCGTGGCTCGAGGGTGGTAGTGGGGAGGGTTCAGGCCGCCGTTGGGGACGTAGTCCACTCGAGCCAGGGATATCCCCAGCGTGTTCAGCCCCGGGATCCGGTCCGCGTTGATCAGGGTGACTTTGGACCCAACCGGGTTCGAAGTGTTACCCGGCTGGTCCAGACCGGACAGGAAGAAATCGTCCGCCGTGACTCGGTTTGGGTCCTTGCACAGGTTCCCGTTCACAAACACTGCATGCACATGTCGATAATAATGCAAGAAAGTAAATTACACATCTATTTACTGATACATATGCGTTAGTTATGTCAACAGACAGGACATAGCAGTTTCATTATACTTAAGGATATACAGAAAAAGACAGGACATAGCAGTTTCATTATACTTAAGGATATACAGAAAATAGAAATTGAGAATATATACATTTATAGCACCTTCTTAATAGTAGGGTGGCTATTTGGTTCAGGTTTTTTGGTTTTACTCGAAATCGAACCGTATAATTCGGATTGAACCGGATAGCAAACAATCGAATCCAATTTTTGGGCCTAAATTGAGATAAAAAAATCGTTTGGGACTGCACCGATAACCGATATAGACCGGATAATGGAGCCCAACACCCAAAATTTAACCTTCTTCTCGCCCTTTCATGGCTTAGACCACTCAAATCCCCCCTCAGGCCACTCAAATCCCCACAAGCTCAATATAAAATCAAGACCGAATTGAGACCGGACCGGTTCAAGACCGGACCGGATCATGACCGGACTGTATTCAATCCAATCTTTGGTCCTTATATTCTCGAAAAGAACGGATTGAAACTGAATCAATTCGGGCCAATTTAATCGGACCGGACAGTATAGCACCCCTACTCAATAGCATTCTAAACAAATCCAAGTTGGGGAAAAAAAAAATATTACAGACGCTCAAAACTGTAAAACAAACTTGTATAATTCCATAATTCGTTTTCAAATTATAGTAACAAGAAGATCATAGTAGGAAGGAAGATAACGTGTCTTCTGGTCGACGACAGATAATCTATCTTCAATTACGTACCACTGTTATTGGGGTCCTCGACTGCGACGCAGAAGTCCTGGAGGGAGCCTGGATCGACGGCAGAGAGGAGCGGCAGTAGAGCTAAAGAGAGGGCGAAACCCATGGCGAGGAAACAAAGATCATCTCTCCCTCCACTCATGTTATTGTCAGAAGGCGAGCTTAAACTAGCTTGCTAGCTATCACTGATCTGAAAAGGTAAAGGTAGAACTGAATCTGATGGAATTTTTATAGCAAAGAGGGGGCGGGGTTCATTAATTATTAGCTGTTGAATCAGTTTGTTGTTTACTGGCATGCTGACTTGTTCGTGGTGATGGGTATTTTTTTTGTTATATATATTTTCTGCATGACGGTGAGACTGATGCTCATTGTGGGCTAAGTTAAGTGAATGCATATTAAATGTCAATTTCCTCAACGAGTTTCTTTTGGTTTGGTTTTTTGTATATAAAGTATGATGCCAGCAGTAAGCTACTTTGAGCAAATCTTTGTGGAATATACATATCTATCTTCAAGTGAAGGAGACCAATTCATAACACCGTTTGGAGGTATAAGTAGTTGAGAATGATGTATATATTAAATTCCCAAACTCAATTGTCTGGCCGCCTGCAGGTTGTTGTTATCCTTTAGGTTGGGTTGGGTCAGTTTCGTTGTGCTCATTCTCATCAAGTATCACGTTGAACAGCTCGAAATATAATATCAGGCATTGTTTGGATGGGTGGTTCCAAACTTGAAGTGCCTATGTTAAGAGATAGAACTGTTCTTTTTCGATGACTGATGTTTGACCTTTTCCCATACAATTTAGTGTGCAATGAATTGTCCGCAAAGAGAGGGAATGTCGTTTTTTTTAAATATATGTACATAACTCTGATTAATTTATTGTCTAAATAACAAAATTCAACGAGCGTACAGTAAATTAGTGTAAGCATGGCACTACAAGAAAAACTAATAATAACCTCAGTCACCTACTGACGGTCTCCCATGATAGTCGGTATCTAACAAATGTTGATGGACAAGCGGACAAAATATTTGACCGTCGGAAACTAATTGATTTCAGCTGAAGAAAGCTATATATAGCCTATGTTTGGCCCGGCTTTTATGTGGACAATTTTGAGGTCAATAATTTTTTCATAATCTGTCATATCAGCGTCACATCACCGTATATGGAAGATCCCTAACGGTCTAACCATTTCCCTTATAAATTGTAATGAGCTATATTTCTTTCGTTTTAGGTTGTAATTTAAAAATATTTGCACAGAAAAATCAGATAAGTGGTGCTCTTCAAAATGATATCCACGTTTATATATTTTTGGAACAAAAAAATTTGAGATATATAGTACCAGTCTTTACCATGCATGGTGGTACTGCTTAGTACTACATAAGATCATACCACATGGTACGGACATAACATAGTATAGGATAGTTCAAATACATGATAATAGGAATTACGAACTGTCATTTACCACATTCGTCTTTGTGTACCACTAGTTACCACCCCTATATCTCGTGCTATGAAGTAGTACGTTATAGTCCTGTATGGTTTCCCCTAGAAATTTGTAGATCCAATATATCAAAAAGATTCGTTCCATCTGTGCAATTTTTTTTTTTAAATTTCAAGTCAAAACGAAGGTGGTAACGAGTAGTATGAGTGGTATGTATTTTTTGTTTTGTCGAACATTGAAAATAGATCTCATTTTGTAGATCACAATGAACTCGTTCCATCTGTGCAAATTTTTTTAAATTCAAATTAGAACAAAAAAGATAATAACCTTATAAAAAAAGTATGAAAATAAAAAACCATTAAATCTCACCCCTTAGATTTGAATTTTTTGTGCCTACTCAAATACAAAGGTCAAGATTTAGTTTTGGAAGACTTATGCACCCTCTAAACCGAAGAATTGTGAATCAAATTGGGAGGTTCAGATTTTTAAAGTGTTGGTAGCCGTAGGGATGAAAATGGGGGAAGTGGAATGAAGGGAATGCTTTGTTTTTTAAGGGTAGGTGTGCTAGCTTGTTGATACTTTCAATAAAATATAAATTATTATTATTATTATTATTATTATTATTTTATCTCTATAAGAGAATAAGTAACCAAGTTACTATTGCATAGTGTCCCATCACAAGGGCCAAGGGGTACAGGTGTGAAAATAGAACCCGACCCGATTAACTCGACCCGTAACCCGCCCGCAATCCAAATTGACTAAAAGTAAACAACCCGTAACCCGCCCGACCCGCAACTCGATCGACCCGCAACCCAACTAAACCACAACCCGACTGACCCACAACCCGATTAACCCGAACCCGATTGACCCGCAACTTGATTAAACGCGAACACAATTGATCCGAATTAGACTAACCCGTAACCCGACCAACTCAACCGAACTTCAACTAATCCACTTGAATAATTATTATATTATACAATACATAGTTTTTCAAAATAAAAGTTTTCATTCTAAACTTATGTAAAATTATTTTTCCATTTCGTATAGGGAATTTAAAAAATATGAAACTCACGTGATATTATCTATTTTAAGAAAATTAAAAAAATTTAAACATGAACGTCACTTGAACACTAAGTTCTTTAACAAAATTAAAAAAGTAAATATGAAATATAAAATCAACACAATGTGAATATTAATAATGAAGAATTAATAATTGAGATCATGGAGAATATTAATATAATATATATATTAAAATTTTGGTTAATTTAAATATTCAATAAAATTATCAACTACATATAAATAAAGTAAAGTAATGTATTTGATAATAGAGATGGCAATTTACCCACCCATGGGTAAGTTTGCCCAAACCTAAGTAGACCCATTTATTATGGGTAGGGTTTGGGTGATGTGTGTATGAGTTTGGGGTTTGTATATGGATTTGGGTTAGATATGGATATTATCTAAATGGGTATGAGTTGGATATGGATATCCATTTACTTGAGGGTGTTTTAACTACACATAAAAATTGGACCTATTTGGATAGTAAAATACTCATGGGTATGGGTAATATTGTCATCCCCATTTGGTAATTTGATGCTTTTAAAAGAAGAGGGAAATTTTGGTGTATTCAACTTTTTGGGAAGAGAAAGAAGAGGAAAATTTGGTTTTTTGAATTTTTTAGGAATGAAACAAGAGGGAATTTTAGTGGTTTTGATTTGTGGGAAGAGAAAGAAGTGGGAAAGTTTGGTTTTTTTTATTATGAAAGAGAAATAAGGAAGAAATTCTGAGTTTTCAACTTTTTGTGTAAGGAATGAAGAAAGAGGAAAATTTGATTCTTCAATTTTATGGAAGAGAAAGGGAGGAAAATTTGGTTCTTTCAATTTTATGGAAGAGAAAGAAGAGGGAAAATTGAGTGTTTCTAATTTATAGAAAGAGAAAGGAGAGAAATTTTAGTATTTTAATTTTTTATGTGAAAATATAAAAGGAAACAAATTTGGTGTTTTCAACTTTTTTGTTTTTCAAAATTTTAGCCTTTGAAATATGAATCCTTAATATTTTTATGGAGGGGATGACTAGTTAAATTTATTCTTATATGCTTTGAAGGCTAATATATATGTAATTATTTATGGGCTAATAACTAAATTAACCATTAGTTACAACAACCATTTGTTTTACATATCACTTAATTTGTCAACTTGTTTTCTATACTTCTACATTTATTGCAACTTCAACACTACATGATCGTTATTTTACAACACTTAGTAAAATTTTGACACATTTAATTTGTGTTCGTGTTGAACTTTTATTTCAAAAATGAGGTTAAACTTAGCATGTTAAGTTATACGATTGCAATAACTAAGTCATACGATTGTTAAGGTACATATGGTTTAGAGTGTACCGTGTATATGGTTAGGGTAGAAGGTATTAATGATTTTTACGGTTCTAAGTTTTTTATTAACATATGTTCATTTGAAGTCTTTAACGACAGAAGTTCCCTTTTTAATTTATGTTTATAGTACGTGGTTAGGGTACATGGCATATAGTGTAGAGTATAGGATATACGATTAGGGTATAGCAATTAGCAAATATCACTTTTTCATCTATGTTTTGAACATCAAAGTATGAATTTCACATTTAAATTAACTATACTAGCAAAATCACAACTCATAAGGATATATGGTTAGGGTATAGGGTATGTGGTTAGTGTATAATGTATTGATGATTTAGAGTATACGATCAACTGTTGGGAATGAATAGCTTTGAAAGCTATATTGAATTAATTATCCCGTATTCTTTCTAGATACGAAAATAGATGGATAATTAATAAAAGGAATATTATGGAGATAATTAGGAATAATTATCTTAATAGATTATATTTTAATTGTGGGAGTAATTATCTCTCTAATTAAAATATGACTTATTCCCAAAGAAAGAGGGAATATTCTGGGTTTTCTGCTCCTATAAATAGGAGACGCCCCAGACCCTCTAGACACACCTCAGAGAGCAGAAACACGAGATAGAGAGTGAGTTCATAGAGCTCCGGTTTTCGCACAAAACCGATGAGCAACAAAATAAGAATGGCTGTTTTATCCTGGAGGCGACCGGCTGATAGTCTGCTGTGCGAATAACGAGGCAGTGCCGCGAACGTCTTAAAGAGAGCGACCTAGTCCGCGACTCAGCCAGATCGGTAACCCTATTTTTCTGTTCGGTTTCTAACAATTTTAAGACGTTGGTTGCTGTCATGTCTTCCGAGCAGATCGAATACCGCATCTGGGTCCAATTCGCTGCACAAACCCACCATCGCTCTACGACCGGGATGAGACGTCTGTCCGTTGCCCTAGGACGACGGCATATGGAAGAAACGAAAGGGGAACTCGATTTTGGCCACACAAGCAGGAGGCGTTTAATCATTGCGTGGAGGTTTGGGGTGTCATAATTCATAATTAATTGATGCCATTGATTTCAAATTCTTGACGTAAAGTAGAAGTGCTCACCATGGGAATATAAGCAATAATCATATATGCGTATGGGAATCTTGTACGCTAGCTGCAGCAGGTTGTATATTTCTTTTTGGAAAAAAAGGATGTTGCTGCTTCCGTTGGCAAAGAAGAACATGGAGCCGGGATTTGTGCTAATCCCTTACGAATCGGCCGAATCGTTTTGTTTGGTGCTTTGGTAGTACTATTCTTAACAGGTCCAGGTACTTAGTGAAGATGACGGAAGGGTTTTGTACCATGATT